TCGTCAGAACCAGAAAAACAGGAAATTGGAATTAATCTTAGTACGCCGGAACAGAGTTCTAAAATGTATTTTTAAAAGCCAAATTTAACTTTTATCTTCCCATTGTTCTCATATGGGAACAAGAATAAGGCCCAAACAGTGATGACATAAATTACCCCGAAATCGACGAATTGAGAACACTGGACAAAGTTTGTTTCTTGCTGTTACACTCAGCTTACAGGTGCTATAACTAGGAAGACATCACACATTCTTATCGAAGTAAAGCACTTCAAGCTGAGAATGAAATCTAGATTAGAATTGCTTCTTTCAATATAATCAACCAGAGATATTTTATTTATACAAATAGCCAACAGATGTCCCAAAGAATTAATGTATAACCATTACAAAAATTGAAGAAAGTGTTTCCAGAGTTTAGACTTACCTAGGAGCAGAGACTTGCAACTGGTGGTGTCGGGGTGCAACTACAGTTTGCAGGGGAAAGGGATACCTGAGCTCGCCTGGCGTTTTCAAGATACTGCTAGTGAACTGATGGTTAGCAAGATCGAGAACACTGATTTATACCTTCATACTACTACTACCGTACTGGCAAAATATGTTGCGCGTAACGCGTAACGCAGGGGGGTGCGTCGTAACGCGCGACCAGGCTAGTGCGACACATTTTCGTTGCGTTCGTAACGCGCGTCCGGCGGGGTGCGGCGATCTTTTCATTGCAAAAAAGGCTGAAAACTGTGAAAGCACGTGTACCGCGTGGTGAAAAGTTCAAAACTGGACGCAGCAGGAAGTCCTGCAATAGCAAAAAAGGACTGCGGCAATATAGAAACCTGCGCATCGGCTACTGTGCGACTTTGCATGTAACGCCCTGCGTGCGGTAAACATGTGCCAATGTAACGCTTCATGGCCTCACTGCGACCATGTATATTGCCAGTACGGTAATACTACTACTGAGTAGTGTACTGTGTAGTGAAAGGAGCGGTGCTCTGACGTGGCATCTCTGATACGTGAGAGCTCAGCTCTAATCTTTACGGTAGCCGAATGTTGAGTTGTCTCTCAGAACTTACAGAAGAAGGTCGCAATGCATCCACGCATCGTTATTAACGTTTATTACTGCCATTGCTGACTGTTCATTGATCCACTAAGCTCTTAGTGTTCCAGCAGAAACCCACGTATTCGACACAGCTAGACGTGGGCAGCAGACAGTGAGCTTGTATTGGTAATAATTATCGCAATCATCTCTGCACGGCTAGCAGTGTTCAGAGCTAGCTGCATGCTACAAACTTCATGATGTACACACGCACATGTAGCTGGCTAATAGTATTATTATTACTGTGTATTGATCACACGCACAACCGGTAACCGCCACTCCATGTCAAGATGGCCACGTACGTGTGCACTGTCTGTACTTCAAGTTCAAGTACTTGCCGAACTCATTCCCCACTTACGTACACCTAGTAGGCTAGTACCTATTGGTATTACGTGATCGTCAAAATATTCGTAGTAGTAGGTATTGAAGATGCCAACAAAGAATTTAAAGATTCGTCATTGGCTGCATTGCAGGCACTGACTTTATTCTTCGCAAATGTACTGACTACTGTACCATGATTAAGTCATGTACATTTCGCTGCCCACTGTTCAGTGTAGTTCACAGGACTAGGGCTGCGCAACGTTCGGCGCGTACTTGAGTGACGCGACTTGATTTCATTGCATGCACGGTACTGGAGGACAGTACACAGCTAGCTACGGACTACAGTCACGCCCTGCTACTTGAACATACTGAACTGACGTAGTCAAATCACTTCACAGGGCGGCGCACGCATCATGCAGCAATCTTGATCTACTCCGCGAATGACCCGGCATCAACGAAAGACTGATGCCCCAATACAAGTTTTTTTTGCGAATGTCATTGGTTGCATGCACTGACCCTATTATTATAATTATTATTATAATGTATGTTCGCGTTGATGTCAACAATGTTCACATCTTCGCATATGCCAGAACCAAACGATCAGCTGTATGATACTGTAGAAGCAAGAATGCATTTTAACGGTACAACACAACGGACAATATACTTCACTATGGTGATTGCCAGCATGGTCGGTGACTACCGAAACCTATGCGGGGAAGTAATAGTCATGATGGAGTGGTAGATGCCAGCATACTGTGGCCTTCCTCAATATAGAGCAGGGCAAAAGTCTCTCCACTCCTCGCGACTAGCTGCGGTAGATCGAAGGCTGTCTAGGTCCGCTGCTGTCTTTAATTTGGCCATGTTCTTCTTCTCCAAGTCCTTGGACAGGGTTGTGACCAACGTTGTTCTTGGTCGCCCTCGGAACGACCCTTCTCGACATACAAAGTATGCCTTCATTGCTATCACTGCCGGGGTATCGCCAGGAAGCCGCAGGACATGGCCCATCGGTCTCCATCGGGCACGCTTGACCGTTGCGCTGATTGGTTCCGCACCACAGCGGGAGTAAACGTTGATGTTGGAGATGCGCTGTGGCCAACGGACGCCAATCAGGGACCTCAGCTGCCTTCTGTGGAAGGAATCGAGCCCCTCCTCAGTTGCTGCTGTCAAGCCCCAAGTGCCACAGTTGTACAGCAAAATTGGGACGATCAGGGTATTGTACAGACGGAGCCGAACCCGCTCGCTGATCTGTTTGCTGCGACGCCAGAGAGAGAACATGGACTGATATGCTGCTGATGCCAGCTGCTTTCTCCGGATCACGTCTTGTTCGTCGCCGATGAAAGAGCCCAGCTTTCTTGTCGAGCGCCAATCTTCTGCTATACGGTCCTTCTCCCGGCGAAATGTTGTCCTCTCTGTCTTGTCATGGTTGACGCGTAAATGCCATTCACCCAGTACCTCCGCTGCAATGGGTTCGATATCCGTCAGCCACTGCCTCGAACTACTTATGAAGTCGGTATCATCTGCGTAGATCACTTCTGGGGGTAGGTGTTGGTCCTGTAGTGGACGGGGAGGTGCTGCGGCTCTGAAATCACGAAGAGCTGAATCTAGATATACAACAAAGAGGACTGGTGATAGTGCATCACCTTGTGGTGTTCCCACGTTGGTGTTGAAGAGCGATGACATATCGGTGCTTAAGCGGATGCGTAGGGTAGTGTTGCATAGAAGCACGCGGATGAGTCGGATGTTGACTCTATTCGTCATTTTATTTTTTTACTTAGTCCACTATGCTCCCGAAAGAATGCGGAAGGTGGTGGCGGGCCCTGCTGCTCAGCCGCCCTTATATCGCTAACCCGCGCTAAAACTCTCTCTTTCCACCGCCTATCACTGTTCAACACAGCCGCAGCCATCTACCGCTACTCGAGCAAAGTACAATCACATAACTAGTCGTTGCGGGTGCAGCGAACGTGTCATTCGTTCTCTGCTCCCCGTTTGACGTGGAATCGAAGAAGAGCTAATGGACGAAGGCGTTATCTCATCACCATGTTGTCTGGGTTTAAGGGCAACTGCTCTGGCAGCGATGTCGACTGAGTTTTTTCCGATAGACTCAGCTCGGGCTGCATGGTGCGTGAAGTCAAAAAGTCAGAAGAAAAAAACCATACTATCTAGTATCTACATTTACACAAACAAGCAATACCAACTTCAGGGTGTCGAGCCCCCTCCCCACAGGCGCTCTCTAGATCAAGCATTGTCACAGATTCGAGGTGTTGGCCCCACCATATTGACTACCAATGAACGTTTCACACAATTGCTCGAATAAATTCACAACTTAAAATTCTTCCCTGTTCTCCAGCGACTTTTACAGCTGTCTCAACTTACTTCATAGTGTTTTCACCATGGCTATTGACCTCAGCACTAGTATTTCACCATAACCTTAATTACAGAGGTTTCGGGAGCCAGTCAAAGCACTCTAGTGACTCTGAAAGGCACATTAAACTGCGAATTAGTCACTGCCATTGTTGCTGCTTATAGCCCATCTGTAGGTCACACTCGTCCCGGCTCAAGTCCCAATCTAAAATTCATAACCACCCGGTCCTTGTCGGTGAATGAAGGTGCACACATAATTTCTATTACTCGTATTAGACGGCTGCTTTGAGAGCATCCTGGAAGCAAGGTGATCCTAGATGATCGGTTGTTGAAATTGCATTTCACCTGTGGATGACGTCCTGGTACGTGTACTTCATGCATTACGCTATGCTTCTATGTGGTGTGTTCGATCAGTACCTATGCCCCGTGACCTTACTGCGATTGAAAACAAATAAATTTTCACCCGGGAAATGCAAAATGACCGAAGCCCTTTCATATGCTACACCCGGATGACGTGCATTGGAAGACTACAGCAAAGTGTCAGAGTTTTCATTAAAAAATATTCTTTTGTACTCTCTTTCTCAATCTTGTGTGCAGCCACACCATACGTGCCCCCACCCCTAACACACCTCAGTCACATGCACACCCACATACACACGCACACAGCAACAACAAACAGCCTCTGCGGGGACAGCAGCAACAGCAAGAAGAAAAAGAATGTAGCAAAGTGTCAGAGTTTTCATTAAAAAATATTTCCAGAATTATGAAAAAGAAAGCAGCAATAAGCTATGAAAACTTGAAAAGACATGGATTGGTTTACCAGAGACAAGGTCCATGGCTTGCGTGTAGCTATACAGAATACCTGAAACAATGTTTTATTACAGGAAAGTGAACAGTAACAAGGACCCTAAACGGAGAAAAATCGAAATTGACATTACTGAACCGGTCGGAATGTTTACAGAATTTGGTGTTGTTCGTACAGTTACCAATGCTAGCAGTTTTTCAAACCTAGCATTCATATTACAGCTAGTTCCATAATACAGAGTCACCCTGAAAAAGGACAGCGGTTAACAAAAAAGGTGACGAAATGAAAAATTCACACATATTAAATTTTAGCAATGCATCCGTCCAGAAATCTTGACAATGGGGGCACAAAACTGCACTGGCTGTTGTGATACTGGCACTCAGCTGCTCCGATATTCTCCTCATCCCTTCTTCTTCCTGACGCGGCTTCGAGTCATTTCGTAGCCAACAACTTGCCATAGCCCTCCATGGCTTTGAACAATTCGTCTGCTGTCCATTCTGTTCTGGAATGTGATCCTTGTGAGGCAGGTTGTAGGTAACTTCCCAAATGTAGGTAGAGAGTTGCACAATCAGGGATACTGGACTTTGGCAATCCCTTCAAGAACTCTTCATACTCCATGACAGCCATGAAATAATCCTCGACATGAACCGTCCGCATTCTTCCCATTATCAGGAGCTTGAGAACGGAATGTTTGGTTGCGAGCTTGCCGATGGCGTATATCCAATTTCTAGTCATCATCACATCATCTTCTTGATCAAAATTCCTCACATCGACGAAATCCCAATGAACGAAAGGATTATACGTCCATACATACGTGTTTGGAATCTGCAGACATTGCACATAAAGGTATGCCCATAACCATGCTGTGCCCAGGGAGGTGAATACACTTTTGTCGTGCTTTGCAATGCTGTAAAAACATTTTGCAATGTCAACAAGCCTTCTCGATCGGTACACATAGGGCAAGTATGATTCTAGCGTTGAGATATCGCCGTGCAAATGTTCGATCATGGCTTCTTGGTTCTCTTCAATAGAGCCACACCTTTCTAGAAGCAAAGAAACCAAATCTTCTATTCTATATGCATCCGTGTTCATGCCTTCGTCTGAATCCAATGAATCTGGCCCAAACAACTTCCGCGAAACGTTTGGAAGAATTTCACACGCTTCATCTACAGATAAGAAGTCGACTTTCACCAGTTCACTCTGCAAACAAGAGAAAGTCCAGCTTGTGATCTGACCCGCAGTTGGAGGTGCCATCAACGCCAGAGTCGATAATTGCTTTAGCAATGTATCCTTTTGGTCGAAAACCCGGCGATTAGCCCTTTCGACAAGCAAATCATTTATCCACTCCCACGGGCTATGATGCATACTAGCCACACTGTCTGCTATGTAGAGAATTCGTGCAGCTCGAATATACGACATTTCCAAGTTAGGACTGAGATGATACCGCCTCTGCATTGCATGGAAACACATGACAATGACAAATACAGAAAATATGCATGACTTCATTAGTTTCAGGTAGTTGCAAACAGAATAGATATGAAGATCAAAAGCTGTCACCACCAGGTCTTGAACCAGGGACGTAAAATGTACATATACGTACATACATGTTTCTGAACATTCAAGCGATGCCGACACGTGAATATTATTATAATAATATTTCAATATATTTTTAGGAAACAAGAGGCCAAATGCCACGTACTTCTCTTTTTTCTCCGAAACTCAACACTTGCAAGCCAGATATGAAAGAAAGAAAAAATCATCAGTCACACCACCGGGACTCGAACCAGGGACCTTGCTATTCGCGAGCAATGCTCTAACAAACTGAGCTAGAGCTGCATGAGGCCTCTAATTTCCTAAAAACTTTGAAACTCTCCGTGAAGTCCAAACTTGAAATTGCAATATTTCAATATAACTAATAATAATAGTAGGGGGAGCTTTGCGAAAACGAATTATACAAACCGAAAGCCAAACTCCTACAGTATGCGTACGAGTTTAGCTTTCGGCTTGTGCAATTCGTTTTGAAAACTCTTCCCCCTTCTTTACTTGTCTTTGAGAATAATATTAGTACTTTGAAGTAGATGTAAATTTTCGAATTTACAATCCACTTGTTCACTCCAAGTGTATAAATCCTTTTGTAATTTCATAATTCTCTTTAATCACGAAATCCATTGATATTTGTAAGAAGAAACACGTTCTGGAATACTTAATTCGTCGCTCCGGTTGTGATATGAGTGCACACATAGTTTTATTCATTGCACTTGTTCATTCCTAAAGTTTGTACTCGGATGTTGAGCCAATGTAATCATGGATAAATAAAGGAAGGACTGAATGTTGTGAGTTATGACCAGGTAACTGTTCACCAAAGTGACTACATAATTTATACAGTCAGTAAGTGCAACAACAAAGGACAAAACCGACTTTGGAGGTAGTGCCAGGTCCGCGTTGAATATGTCAGTGCTGTTTTGGCTTGTTGTTGAACTTACTTACTCCGTTAACAAAAAAACTTCGTGATGGATTTTTGAGGGCCTGGTTTGCGCACAAATTGTTTTGAAATAAGTCGCGATTATTTTCTCGGCCTTGCCTGGCATGCCATGAGAGAGATACGATTCAAGGAAAGCGACCTTTCACAACAAGCCGAGCTGAATAGAAGGTTGCGCTGTGGCAACATTGCACATTGGTTCTCACCTGACATAGACGCTTAAACGTGTGCTCATTGAGCAGCAGCTTCTTAACATTCCTCGAAACTCCACACAGCCGAAAGATGTCCAGAATGGACAACATTGGCAATAATGTATCTTGCCACACATCAAAAGAAACACTGTCCAGTTCATGCAGAATTGGGCCCTGCTCCGTCACCTGGAGATCTTCAGATACATGTAGTGAGCTAGTTGCATCACTGTTTGCGGATTCTAGATGCAATTCTTCTTGCTGGAGTATATCATCACCAGTAAGAGAGTGATTAGCAGCAGCCATTAGCTCTGGCATAGCATATACATTCTCAGTAGTGATGTCATGTTGCGGCTTGGCTACCTCGGTTGCGTTATCGTCGGGAACGTCAGGCTTCTGATGGGCATCCATTGCCAATGTAAGATCCACAAAATTGCTGATTTCCATGAACAACTGCACACTCACCCAACGGACACAGGGCAATACAGAGGAGTACAGAATAACATCTACATGGATATGCAGCACATAGACAGTCACCAGCAAACGAACAAATAATTCGCTAAACAGATTACATATATATAAATACATAGCAGACTCAGCGGAGGACGTTCAGGTTGGTTGTAACTCTGAGTTTCATTCCGCTAGGCAATCATCAGACAACTGATACTCTGGTCTACCCAACAGTATGCTTATAAACACATAGGGCCACAAGCATAAACAAATTTAGCGCTAAATCTGGTGTGAGGTATGGGGAGAAAGCTGGCGCGGGCCAAGGCGCGACCGTGGAAGTGCCAGGAGGGTGGCGGGCAACAGGCAGGTGTGAGCATGAAAGCGCGGAAAGAGGCGATGGGGAGGCAGTGTACAGCAGATGTGTGGGGGGTGCCAGGAGGGTGGCGGGCAGTGGCCCAGTGAGATCACTACAAGTAGGGAGTCGTTTGGTGACGGGCAGGCGTGAGCAGAGTGGCATCGCCACTCTAATAAATACATGTACATGGATATGAATCGCCAATAGCATGTTCTTAACTATTGCTTATTGAAAACACGAGTACCTCTCCTAATTATTGCATGCATTATAATACTTTTAATATAGCTATGAATAGGATGAAGGCCGCAGACATCACGCAACTACGTTACTTGTTTGACATGTATTACTGTGTATTTTATAACAAAAATATGATTGAAAACCCAGAATCGATTTTCTCGTTCCTATCATCAGTGGGAAAAAACGGAACTAAGGATACAACCAAAGAAACTGAATTTAAGTACTGTAAATAGAAAGGTGTTAGAAATAACATCAAGATACAAGTGCAATAAAACCACTAGAGGAAACGCAAGAAAGGTAACAAGATTACATAACCAAAGGCGAGAAGGCACTGAACGAAGTGTCAACCTACGAATACAACTTCAGTGCAACAATGTGCTCTTTCTGCTTACACAAAACAGGCTTATGAATACGTATACAAACTGCCTCTAAGACTTTCAACTGTTGGACATAACGCGCACGACACAGTACAGAAAAATGAGAGTCATCATACACACCAAGACAGTCAGGACGAGATAACAAGTGTAGATACACAGCTGACTTCTTACGATCAACACATTCATCCGCCTCATCTCGCTCCTTCCCACCCGACTCCTCCTCGTCCATCTCCTCGTCCTCTTCCTCGTTCCGCTCGTCATCCTCACGATCATCATCACCACCATCATCTGCCTCGTCCTCTGTCTCCTCACCAACCGTTTCGTCATCCAATTCCTCTTCCATCCTCTGAACTCCAGCAGCACCACCGTCGCCCTTGCCACCACCAGAACCGCCACCGGCTCTTCTTGTGGCGGGGGCTGGGGTGGACCCACCTACACTCGCGCTGGCATCACCAACTCTCACACGAATTGCCACGCCGCCCACATTAATCCAGAGACCTCGGAGGGCAACAGCAAACTACTGCACAGAGATCTATGCCAGAAACGGCCAGGGACCGCGCGTTGTGGACAGTACCAACAGGAGGAGGGTCGAGCAGTATCATGAGTCAGTGAGTGAAGCGGATCTGGAGGAACAACTCCGCTCACGGGACGAGCGGCTAGCAAACGGGAGACAAGTGGTCTGTACTGAAACGGAGGATGGGAGGGATGATCAGAGGATGGAAGAGGAAGTGGATGACGAAACGGTTGGTGAGGAGACAGAGGACGAGGCAGATGATGGTGGTGATGATGATCGTGAGGATGACGAGCGGAACGAGGAAGAGGACGAGGCGATGGACGAGGAGGAGTCGGGTGGGAAGGAGCGAGATGAGGCGGATGAATGTGTTGATCGTAAGAAGTCAGCTGTGTATCTACACTTGTTATCTCGTCCTGACTGTCTTGGTGTGTATGATGACTCTCAATATTCTGTGTCGTGCGCGTTATGTCCAACAGTTGAAAGTCCTAGAGGCAGTTTGTATACGTACTCATAAGCCTGTTTTGTGTAAGCAGAACGAGCACATTGTTGCACTGAAGTTGTATTCGTAGGTTGACACTTCGTTCAGTGCCTTCTCGCCTTTGGTTATGTAATCTTGTTACCTTTCTTGCGTTTCCTCTAGTGGTTTTATTGCACTTGTATCTTGATGTTACTTCTAACACCTTTCTATTTACAGTACTTAAATTCAGTTTCTTTGGTTGTATCCTTAGTTCCGTTTTTTCCCACTGATGATAGGAACGAGAAAATCGATTCTGGGTTTTCAATAATATTTTTGTTATAAAATACACAGTAATACATGTCAAACAAGTAACGTAGTTGCGTGATGTCTGAGGCCTTCATCCTATTCATAGCTATATTAAAATTATTATCTCCACGTAGGTTATTATAATACTTTCTTTCAATAGAATCAACGAGACCGACAAATGTCCCAACTAATTAATAACAATTAAAAATTGAAGACATTGTTTCCAGGGTGTTGACAAAGACTTACCTAGGTCAGGAGCAGAGACTTGCACCTGGTGATGTCGGGGTGCAACTACAATTTCCAGGGGAAAAGGGATACCTGAGCTCACCTGGTGGTTTGAACTTGAAGACACTGCTAGTGAACTGATGGTTAGCAAGATCGAGAACACTGATTTATACCTTCATACTACTACTAATACTACTACTGAGTAGTGTACTGTGTAGTGAAAGGAGCGGTGCTCTGACGTGGCAGCTCTGAGACGTGACAGCTCAGCTCTAACCTATACTGTAGGCATAAAATGAGTTGTCTCTCAGAAGAAGGTCACAGTGCATCCACGTATCGCTATGAACGTTTAGTACTGCCATGGCTGACTGTTCATTGATCCACTTAGCTCTTAGTGTTCCAGCAGAAACCTACGTATTCGACACAGCTAGACGTGGGCAGCAGACAGCGAGCTTGTATTGGTAATAATTATCGCAATCATCTCTGCAATCATCTCTGCACGGCTAGCAGTCTGCAGAGCTGCATGCTACAGCCTCCATGATGTACACACGCACATTTAGCAGGCTGATTACTGTGCATTTGTCACACGCACAACCGCCACTCCATTTTACAATGGTCACGTGTACTTTACCTGCCGAACTGATCCCCGGCCGTGTACACCTCTTACGTAATAGTCATCGGCTGTAAAGCAGGCAGGCACTGACTCCAGTCTTGGCAAATGCCATTAGGAATAGAGTCATTATGTACATAATACACTGTCTATAGCTACTGTACAATGATTGTTATTTGGGTCATGTACATTTCGCAGCCCACTGTTTACAGGACTAGGGCTGCGCAACGCCCAGTCACTTACTGCTACTTGCGCATAATAAAATCACTTCACAGGTCGGCGAACGCGTCATGCAGCAATCGTGATCTACTCAGCGATTGACCCGGCATCGACAAAGGACTGATGCCCCAATACAAGTAAGTTTTTAGTGAATGTCATTGGTTGCATGCACTGACCCTATTCGTAATATTCAACCAGTGAAAATTTTGATGTAAAGAAGAGGTTGGTGCGACTTCGGCGAGAGTAGGGGAAGAGTGTGTTGCTCCCTACATGGGAACTCGCGGTTTTCCTGCCGAATTGAATCCTCACTTGAGTGACTCACGACTGCCATCAGAAGTCAATCGAACTGTCCACTCGGCAACCCTGCAAGAAAGCACCACTCCCTGCTCAAAACACAGTGTTCACCCCTCATCAGTTGAGCTTGAGTAGGCTGAGAATGATTGCGCCCGAAGAGCACCACTTATAGCTCTCCAGGCGCAAACATCACCAGGGATACAAAGTTTCAGAGACGCTCCGTTTCCAGCGCGACCTCGTGAACACCAGATGGCGGCGGGAGTCAGTGTCGCTCATGGAGGCGCTGAACAAGCGCTGAGGACAGTTGGCCATTTACAACGTTGTTGCCTCCAAACCATCTAATTCGCAAGCCCGCGCTGGGGACAACAATGTGATTCCTATGTTTGAATTCCAGCTCTGGTGTGTCCGTTGGACAAGTGGGACCGATTTTGTTCTTGAGCATTGACGCGTGTGTTCTTGGTTTGGCCTTGTGACGCGGGTTGGTTTTCAGAGCATTTGTTCTTGGTTTTCGATGGCAAGTGTAGTGTTCACATAATATGGACTGTTACACATGGAGGAAACTTTCCTTTACCCAGCGGAGAGGGCTCAATAAAATAATGAAACACAATATCTTGGAGCACTATTACACACAAGCGGAAGAAGTGTTCACAGACTTCTTCGGAACTCCGTATTTCTCGCACAATGCAATCACAGTCAACTTAAGGTGGCAGACTACCCAAAAATTCGCTTAAAAATCGAATTTGTAAATTCATATTGAGTGCTACGTCAGTTGAAAGAGCATGAATAGCTGCAAATTCTCTGAAAATTGTGTCCCTATCTGACCAGCCGTTCAAGAGTTATGGCCGAAAATGTGCCCTTGCAAGGAAAGATTTTTTTGTTGCATGCTGTCATTTGTTGGCAGCACTGTATTTGAATGTGAGCAGACCGTGCGCAACTTGTCGTATTATGGAAACACGCGAAAGTGTGCAGAATTTTTCCCCAAGTCCAAAAAAGTCCAAAAAATCACGTTAAAAAAACACGTATTGGGCCGCCGTGCAGCAGGACTTTTGCCAGCACCCTCGTGACGTTGCAGATATGTGGCTTGATTATTGTAGTTGACGTTGATTTGGTGACTTTGGCAAGTTTGAGTCGTGTCAAGAAGTCAGGTAGGATTCAGTACTAGGCAGTAGTGAAACGTGAGTGGCAGTCTTTGCCGGTTTCTGAGGGCATCCTGGATTTGGTGTGCAGCGCTGTGGAAATTGCTTGCTGTGGAGGTCCCAGCACTGGATGTTGTATCAAAGGTACGACCTCGTAGCACGTGCTAAACCTAAAAAAATTCAAAAATTGACTTGGGTCTGTGGGAGTCCGTGAGACAACGCCCACTCGTTCCGTTGTGACAGATTCCAGGGCCACGTTGAGGGGCCCTACCCCACCACCCATGGCTGCTTCTGGACTTGTTTTAGGTTTGGGTCCCGCGCACGGACAGAATGGGCACGAAAATGTGAAAAAATGTAAATGCATTTGTTTGGCTCCTGGGTGGCTCGCACACCGTGGCACTATGCCGGAAATTTCAGTTTTTCCGGCCTGGAAAGCCTGTCAGTGAGGCGCAAGAACTTGTAAATCATGTCCTGAGGGCCAGCATAGTGGCAGGAGTGTGTGGTCAAAATTTCACTCAAATCCACTGAGAAACACCAAAGTTACGGTCAATTGAATGCCATATGAAATTTATGGGTAGGCTGCCCCCTTAAAACGTTATTAGTGCAATTTGTCCACTATGATGTATAGTTTGATAATGCACACGTTGTGTAACAGGTAGCCGAGTGGTAGGCGCGATGCAATTAACACGAGTTATCTTTTATTATTATTCTCTTAGGTACACACCTAGGATATATTAGAAGTTAAAGAAGAATAATAATAAATGACTTTCTGTCCGGTGCACACCTAGAGGTTGACTACTTCTTCTTCGAGTTAGCTTTGTCGTTGCTATCTTATCTTACTCAAAACAGAAATGCGCAGCCGCTTTAATGCAGCAGACGCCGTGCACTTACATACGGAGATACGGAAGCTCAGACAATTGCTGCGACGCTGGAGCTGGACGACAGAATGGATGCAATGGCGAAGAAGGACGCATACATCACGCTGAAGGACCATAAAGACAACTTTTCCCGGTCCCTGCCATGCCGGCTCATTAATCCCTCAAAGAGTGAAATCGGCATAGTCTCGAAGTCTATACTGGATACCGCTCTAAAACAACTCCGTCCCCAGCTGCAGATTAATGCATGGAGGAACACGGCAGCGGTGATAGAGTGGTTCTCAAGAATACCAGAGAAAGAAAACTGCATATTCGTGTGCTTTGACATCGTAGATTTCTACCCCTCAATCTCCGAAGACCTCCTCCAGAGATCCGTCGAATTCGCCCGCCGCTACACGGACATCTCCCAGGAGGAGGGTGACATAATATTCCACGCCAGGCGATCTCTGCTGTTCGGCTTGGAGAGGCACTGGGTGAAGAGACACAACGAGCACTTTGACGTCACAATGGGGTGCTATGATGGGGCTGAGGTGTGTGAGCTTGTTGGAGCCTTCGCCCTCGCCATGATAGCGGACGTGTTCAACGGCCGAGACGTCGGGTTGTATCGCGACGACGGCCTGGCTGTGTTCAGGAATGCATCAGGACATGAAGCTGACCGAATAAGAAAGGAGATGACCAAAATATTCCAGAACCTCGGACTGAAGATAACGATACAGACAAACCTGAAGAGAGTCGACTTTCTGGACGTGACATTGGACCTGACCACCGGAAAGTACTGCCCTTACCGGAAACCGAACGACAAGCCGATGTACATCAACTGCCAGTCAAACCATCCACCTACAATCATCCAGAACCTACCTGCATCGATCAGCAGAAGACTAACAGATATTTCCAATGATGAAGACGTCTTCATAGATGCGACTCCGATCTACAGTGACGCGCTGAGGAAGAGTGGATACCGGGAGAACGTACAGTATTTTGACGAGCGTAAAACGGACGAGACAAAGAAGAAGAAGAAAAGGAATCGCCCTCGGAACATCATATGGTTCAACCCACCATTTAGCAAGAACGTCGCCACCAACGTTGGACATCGCTTCCTCCAGCTAGTAGCCAAACACTTCCCCAAAGGCTCAAGCCTCAACAAAATCTTCAACCGGAACTCTGTAAAGGTTAGCTACAGTTGCATGCAGAATATGGCCACTATCATCAAGCAACACAATAACACGATCCTACGACCCAAGAAACAAGCTAACGGAGGTGACAACGATACCAGGACTTGTAACTGTCGGGCGAAAGACTCGTGTCCACTGGACGGAGCGTGTCTAACGGAGAGTATCGTATATAAGGCAAGAGTCACCGCAGGTATGGAGAAGAAGGAATATACTGGATTAACAGCAACAACATTCAAACAACGCTACTATAACCACCAATCCTCATTCCGCCACAGACAACACGAGAAGGACACCCGCCTATCGCAGTACGTCTGGACCAAAAAGGATGTAGGGAAGGCATGCAGCATTCAATGGGCGGTACACCGCAGAGCAGCGGCCTACAGCAACAAAAGCAAAAGGTGCAACCTGTGCCTGGCGGAAAAATTGGCAATCGCGCAAGCACCCAAGCACCTCTCTCTAAACAAAAGGAGTGAGCTTGTGTCGAAGTGTCGCCATGAGAATAGATACTACCTTCGGAACTTTAAACCAGCTACAGCCATCACCTAATTAAGTAAGAGACACCAAGCTCCAGTGGTTGTCACCTTTCACCACTTGCTGTCATTCACGCTTTGCACTGCCGCTATTTACACTTTGCTTTGTGAGGATATAAACCAAAACTGATCCAGATTTCCAAATACTGTTTTCTGATGATCGCTTAGTGCGTGAAACTCTGAGTAAAAACACTTCCTCTGTCCTCCTATTGTTTGAACCAGCTCTACCACTCGGTATTGAGCACTCTCTTGGACAGCCTGGAACCTCTCTGTTTTACGGAGA